AATTGAAATCATGACCATGATCTCGGACTCCTTGTTCAAGGCTTCGAGTTCTTCCTCTGACCATTCTGGAACATGATAAAAGTCGTCTGTAGTGAGCCTAGCCATGATAGAGAGTGCGGTCGAGGCATCATAGTTACTTCGCTCGTACTCAAGCAGGGCCCTATCCAAGAGATCACCTGAGTGAGGGGGAAGTGGGAGATCTGGCAAGGCCTTGACAGCTAACATGTATTTTTCAAGATTATCTGTGTACAATATATTTATAAATTTATAAGAAAATCATTTTGAGAGCATTAACAATATAGCAAATATATATAAATATATATATATATATATATATATATGTGTGTGTGTGTGTGTGTGTGTGTGTATACCTTGGGTATCATCTGTCCATTGCGTACGTCTAAACATTGGACTCAATGTGGCGTCTGTTCCACGAGCTATAGGGGCATTCTCTTCTTCGACTTCTTCCTGTTCTGGTTCCTTGGAAGGATTAGGGCTAGTAGCTGGTTATTATTGTTATTTTTATAAGAAAAAAAAGCATAATTATTATCATTATTTTGTAATAAGTTAATATTATGATTGTTATTCTTAATAATTATAATGCTAATGCTAATGTCAATATTATTATTTATAAATGAATATGCTTTATGCTTATATGTTTATATGTGCGTGTGTATGCATGTTTACATACACAAATCCACACTGTGAAATGAAGTGATATGTATATATATATATGTACACAAATAAATGACATACCTGAACGTCGTTTTATGGGTCGACCGACCCGCTTATTGTACCTGCGTTTTTGAACTTTGCCAAATGATTCCTGGGAAATCTCTTCTGTTGTCAGGGGTGTAGAAGACCGACTTTGGTCGACAATGGCCAAGGCCTCTTCCAACTTAAAATCAGGGGTATCAGCCTGGTATTTTGCTCCTATACGACTCTTCGCATGTGGATAGCAGTTGTTGTTGGCTACATTTGATAGTATTAATGGTGTTAGATGTGACTGCAAAGCATATGTATATAAATAATGTATATATATACAAAAGAGAGAGAGAAAGAAAGATGTAGAAAATTAAAATGAATAGTAAATAGTAAATAGTAAATAGTAAATAAAATGGGCAGATTCGGCGTACATTCAATATCCAGGAGTTGGGTGCTCATGTTGAAGTAACGGAATGGCCACATTGCAGTCATTGTCATTTCTTCTGGTGCTAATTAAAGAAGATAGATTTGAATCAATCATGTATTGATCAATGAGGACATGTATACGATAGATATTAACACTATGTACTCTCACTATCACTTCGCTCACACTCACACTCACTCATACTCATACTCATACTCATACTCATACTCACTCGCACAGTCAAAGATAGATACATTGACCTTTTTCTTCTTCTTATGTCTTTATTTATTTTATTTTATTTCTTTATTTTATGTATTTAGGTATTTATCTAACTATCTATCTTTTAACAAAAAAAAACAAAATCCCTTTTTCTTTTCTATTTATTTGTAATATCTATTTTGACTGGGGTACTCTACCTTTTGGTGTGTGTCTAGGTTCTGTAGGCGCGACCCTTTTCTTGATCTGTTTTTGGGTTGTTTTTGTGACATTTGCACGCGTGGCAGTGCGGGTTTGTCGTTTAGGACGAGAGGAGGAAACAGGCTTTGAGCTATTCGAACTGCTGTCACTCTCAGACGGAGTGGACGTGTTCTGGGATGAGCCTCCCAGGAGCTCTTCTCTAGTACACGAGGCGCACTGCCAGGCAAAGCCTTTGGAAGGCTTTCGAAGAAGAGGAGGATTGAGACAAGACATATGGTAACTTTTTAAACATGCTGCACATTTGACCGACTTGGCACTGATGAGAATACAAACAAAAATGTGAATATATATATATAATTGTTATAATTTTTGAAAACAAAGAAAAGCAAATGTCTATTTATCATCTTCTTCATCTTCATCATCATTAAACCAACAACCTCTAAAAGAGAAGGGGGATTTTGTTGTTGTTTGTTGTTGTTGTTGTCGTTGGGGGTTTTTGATCTTTTCTTATTCTCTATTCTTTTTTCTTTCTTTTATAGAGAGCAATATTTATGTAGAAATTTAATGTAGGGATGTAGGTATGTAGGTATGCGAATGTATAAAGAAGATATAGCGATGAAGATATGTAAAGAGACAGAAAGAGATGGTGTGAAATAGAGAGATAGAGATGGTGTGAAATAGAGAGATAGAGGGGGAGGGAGGAGAGAGGAGGGGGAGGAGAATCATGAACATTTACCTCGCACACCACTCGTCACACATACAGCAGTTACATCGGTCGACTATCAAGTCATCTGCAATAGCTTGCTCCACAACAACAAACTGATACCGTTCTCTTAAGGCAGTCTGGATTGCCAGAGGTACGTTCTGTACGGCCTCACATGCTACGACTTCGTACATTCTTTGCATGTACCGATCGTAGAGACGATGGAAATAAAAATGATCCTCCAATGATCGATACATTTCCAGTCCTTCCTTTCCAATGTAGTGCTTATGGGTGACCGTACACTTGCCTCGGATTGCACTCACTGGGTTGAGATCTGACTGCATGGTGGCGAACAAGAGTCGAGGATCATGGTGCTTTCGATTCACCACATCCTTTGGTCGATTGAACCAGGCAATTCGAGCTTGCTGCCCCTTGCCCGCCACAACAACCGGAAACTCCATGATACGCCCGACATGATAGGGCTCACCCAAGTGCTCCGACGCCAGGAAGACATGGTCTTTATTTATTTTTTTAATTTATTTTTTTAAAAAAATAGGACAAGTTAGAAACAGAGACAAAGACATAAGAGAGAGAGAGAAATAATAATAAAATATTTAATACATTTTTCTTGTCAAATCCAACCACCAATAATAAAAAATGCTTACCATTAACCCGGACTACGGTTCCATCGGAAAGAAGAGCCTGCCTCATTTCTGCAATGGGATGAGGTGTGGCCATGGTGATGGTGATGAGGAGAAGTTTTTAAGACCAAAAAAAAAAAGAAGGGAAAATAAAAAATTAAGAAAATTTAGGCAAGCTTATATACAGAGAACGAGAGAAAATACTGGGACATTTAGAATCCGATCAACCCACCTTTGCCTTCCCCTTTTGAAAGGCCTAGGTGCGCTTATTTGTGCTTGCTTATTAGCCATAGAAGATATACAGATATACAGATATATACATTTGTGCTCACACTCACATTAACGCTTATACTCCCACGCACACACTCATATAATTACATGTAAATTTACATTTACATTTACATTCATTTACATTCATTTACATATATATATAAAAACTATTTAAACTGTGAATAATAGATAATGAATGAAATAATACTCACATTATAAAAATTAAAATAAAAAGAGTATGATTGACATTGAGAGGGGGGGGGGGGGGGGGGGGCTTGAAAAAAAAGGGGAAAAAATTGGAGAAATTTGCAAAAATGCCCCCCAAAAAAATTTTACAAAACTTTAAAAAAAAGGCTTGGAAGGAT